CTGAACCCCCAACCCCACTGAGCTACGCCTTTGGTGTATGTTCAGGGGGTTTAGTACTATATATATACACGTATATTAAAAATTTAATCTTATATATATAGTGTAATTTTTCGACAAAGGGGGTTCGGATGAACCCCCTTCGTCCTATGTAAATCCACCCCTGGTCTAGGGAGTACTTGTGTCTTCTCCCATTTAGAAAACTAATGTCTCGCTTGGCATAAGTTTGGTGGTAATTAATTAAGTTCTGCGGTGGTATAAGTTGTGTAGTATCTCATCAAAAGTTTAATGATCTTTTGCCTCGCTCGGCATAAGTTTTGCAGTACGGATTAACTTGTGGTATATGATTGATACAAAAATATAAACTTATGTCAAGCAAAAAAAATATTTTTGATTTTGGTGTCGAGATATTTAATTTGGCACATTATTTTTACTTAAAATGATTGACGGACAAAAATTGAAGACCATCAAATTTAAGGACGAAAATTGAAAGTAGAGGGATTTTTGTGCCAATGACCCTGTGACAAATTTTGTGATTGTGAGGAACCAATCAGATCTTGGTGGACTGGCCATATCATTCTGTCTTGTTTCTCCAAAATGGTCCCCAAAAAACAGTGCTTATGACAAACTTTTACTACTTTTCAAACGTTGGAAGCTATGTAAGCTTCATGAAGAGGCAATTTATAGCCTTCAAATCCCTCATAAGTGATAACGACTATTATAATAGAAACTAGACTAGTACAGTGCCGTGTCATAAAGGCTAGCTGTGAAGTAACACATTTCAAGCCCCGGGTATGGAGCAATCCAATGTGGGCTCAGACACCGGATGGAAACCAGTAAAAGAAAACACAATTTCAAGACTCTGAATTAAACAACACCAAATTAGTGGCAAGGCATCATTGTCATTGATGAAGGCTAGTTTCTTCCTACTTTCCATTTTTCTATAGAGATTAAGTTGATTTTTTCAAAGGTCATTGGTGATTAATTGTACAAGTGGAAGAGTAACTAAAACAAGCAAGCCTCGATTGACCAAGTCAATAAGATGAAGACATTAAAGAGGTCATAGTCAAGTGAGAATTTTCTGAGTCCTTACTCACTTATTCAACTTAACCTGACCTTGATATTTCGATGGAATTAAAATTCGAAAAAACACATAAAATATAAAAAAAAGTATCATTCTTTTGGAGATAAAATAAAAAAAGAAATGAAAATGAGTTGCATAAATTGGGACATGGAAGTGATATATACATTCTAGTTATAAATTAGCAGCCAAAATCCCAAATAGTTTGATGTGACTTTAAGGCCTTCAGAACTAGCTAGATTTACACTGAAAAGGTCAGGTTACCTCCAGATATCTAAACCTGCATAGGTTAGGTTGCATGTGATAGAACAGTTCTTAATGGAAAGTTTTGTGCTTATATTGCAGATATTGTTATGTTGTTTTGTATGCTCAATTACTAGTGCAAAAGATATTATCACTACAACTGACTTTCTAACAGATGGAAAGACCATTACTTCATCTGATGGAAGTTTTGAGATGGGATTTTTTTCCCCGGTTAGTTTCACGAATAATTGGTATATTGGAATATGGTATAAGCACGATGTACCTGATAAGTCTGTGGTATGGGTTGCCAATAGAGAAAATCCATTCAACAACACATCAGGTGTTATGTTGAAAATCATCGATACAGGACAACTTGCTCTTCTCACTCCTGCTAATACAATCGTGTGGTCTACTAATTCATCGAGGCCTTTGGCTGTGAAGAATACAGTTGCACAGTTGTTGAACTCGGGGAATCTTGTCATAAGAGATGCAAATGATACCAAGCCTGAGAAGTTCCTGTGGCAGAGTTTTGAATATCCTACTGATACACTCTTACCAGGCATGAAGATGGGTAAGAACTTTGTAACTGGACAAGAATTTTACCTGTCCTCATGGAAGAACGAATATGATCCAGCTCCAGGAGAATATACATACCGTTGTGATCCTACTGGATATCCTCAGAATGTCTTGAGGAAAGGTAAAGTTAAGGTGTTCAATACCGGACCATGGAATGGACTCCGCTGGAGTGGCGTACCAGGATTCATAAAAAATACTATTTCCACATTTAAGCTAGATTTTGATGAAAAGGAAGCATTTTACAGCTTCACGATTCTGGGTTCTGTTATGAGCAAATTAACCATAAAAAGTAGCGGTGAGCTTCAAATTTCAATGTGGGTTGAGAATAGACAGGAATGGCAAGATATTCTTTCTTCATCGGTAGATACTTGTGACAGCTATGGAACATGTGGTGCATATGGTAGTTGCAACAACACACTCACTCCTTCGTGTAGCTGCTTAGACACGTTTGTGCCTAAAGATCCAAGAAATTGGGCAATGACAAATTGGTCCGGCGGGTGTATTAGAAGGAAACCGCTTAATTGCCAGAATGGAGATGGATTTCTCAAGTACTCTGGTATAAAGCTACCAGATACACAGTATTCATGGTTTGATAGGAGTATGACACTCCACGAGTGCAAGCAAGCTTGCTTGAGGAATTGCTCGTGTATGGCTTACTCAAATCTTGATATACGCAATGGTGGGAGTGGCTGTTTGCTTTGGTGTGGCGACTTAATTGACATTCGAGAATTACCTGGAGGACAGGACATTTACATAAGGGTTGCTACCTCAGAGTTAGGTAACATTTGTGAATTTGATCAAAGTTGGAGTATTAGCTGAATGATTTAAACTTCCCAATTCTCAGATTTAGTTGTATTCTACTTAGATATCTGTTAAAAGTTCACACAGTATATGTTCACTCTTCCATGTCTATTTAGTTTATTTCACCCCTCCATGTTTTGTTCAGGCTCGAAGAAAACAAAACTACTCGCGTTGAGTCTGTTACTGTTGATTGGAGTGACTGTGACTGGCCTGACCATAGGGATGTATATTTGGAAAAAGAAGAAGAGGAAGATGAATTTGAAAGATGACCTAGACCTCCCACTGTTTACCTTGTCAACTCTAACTAAAGCATCCTCTAATTTCTCAGTCGAGAACAAGATTGGAGAAGGTGGATTTGGATCTGTTTACAAGGTAACATCTTAAGTTTATGAATCATTCTTTCAGTAAATAATATCTACTATTATTGACAGTAAACAGATGACACTTACTGAATCGCTAAGCCAGATATATGTTGATATTATAGGGAATCCTGGAAGGTGGACACGAAGTAGCTATAAAGAGGCTATCCAAGTCTTCCTCGCAAGGAGTTAACGAGTTCAAGAATGAAGTTATTTGCATTGCCAAACTTCAGCATCGAAATCTTGTGAAGCTTATAGGTTGCTGCATTGCAGGAGGAGAAAAAATGTTGGTCTATGAATACATGTGCAACAGAAGTCTAGATCTCTTCATATTTGGTCTGGTTACTCTCTCTTAACTCGAAGAACCTCTATTAATACAAACAGTAAAGTTGATAGTTTAATCACATTATCAGTGTTCTAACGGAGGACATGTTAACAGATGAAAAGAGGTGCTTGTTACTCAACTGGCCTAAGCGCTTCGACATCATCAATGGAATTGCTAGAGGACTTCTGTATCTCCATCAAGATTCTAGGCTAAGAATTATCCACAGAGACCTCAAAGCTAGTAACATTTTGCTAGATGCTGACATGAACCCCAAGATCTCAGATTTTGGCATAGCTAGAAGCGTTGTAGGGAATGAGACTGGTGCTAATACACACCATGTGGTTGGGACACAGTAAGAAATTTAATACTACTCACTTCTTAGCATTTATATTATGTATGATATCCTTTATTTTACACTACTTTCTGTTTAATATGTGATGCAGTGGTTACATGTCCCCAGAGTATGTAGTCCATGGTGTTTTTTCAGTAAAATCAGATGTATTTAGCTTTGGCGTATTAGTGCTAGAGATAATCAGTGGTCGAAGAAACAGAGGATTTGCCCGTGAAAGTCACAGTATCAACCTACTCGGACATGTAAGTCTTGTTTGTAATTAAAGACGAGTTTAAATTTTGTGCACTATATGGTAGCTACAGATATTTCTCTATAATAATTAATTGATAACACCTCGTACAAATGATAGTTAAACTGCATTGAACTTAAATCCATCAGGCACATCAACCGCTGCATGTTTCTTGATTATGTACTGATTGTGTTATTGATAGGTATGGAAACTTTATAAAGAAGGTAGACCATTAGAGCTAATTGATGGCCATCTAATGGATTCGCGTTATATTTCTGAATTGCTACGCTTAATCCATGTCGCTCTGTTATGTGTACAACAATGTCCAGAAGACAGGCCAGATATGCCTACAGTGATCTTGATGTTGACTAATGATGCTATTTTGCCTCAAGCTAAGGAACCTGGTTTCTTCACAGAAAGCAAAGTCGCGTCTGAATGTTCTACAAGCATGTGTTCAACAAACGAAATTACCGTCACACAGTTAGAACCCCGGTAAATTACATTACATGTTCATTCAGATCGTTCAATGTCAACAAGCTTGAATTACAGTGTTTTGTGCTGTAAAGCCATAATTTCCTATGGTATCTGTTATTAGTAAATATGGGTGTGTTGTAGTTTTTATTAATTCTAATGTATTTTGAAGAATTCGTACAAAGTACCTATTCAACATGAGTACATCAAAATAATCGAAAGATCCATATAAAATAAATCAACACAATGAGAGTTCACAATAACAACAGAAGCCATTGTTGATGGCTTTTAGAAGCTCCAGTCCCATAGTACTCCAATTAAGTACAGAGTATCAGTTTTGTTGTTCCCATTCTCCGAGTTTAGGATATTCATTAACTGTGGGGTTCCAGTTATACGATCAAACATCAGGCCGTCGCTACACTAACAATTTGAATGATAGCAGAATGGTTGATTAAAGTCATGAAATTGCCAAGACTACAGTGATTGGAAGAATTGCAATTCTAATTTTTTATTTTCTTTCTAGGAAATGTACAACTACAGGCAAAAAGATAGAATAAAAAAAATCCTCTGATAGAATAACCTGTAAGTATCTCAACTATACATGTAAGAACATCATACTCTAACAGAGAGTTTCATTATTCATGGAACTATCATCTGTACAAAAACTCAATACGTCCATCTTCTCATCTCTATGTGAGACAGAGATAATCTAAACACTTCAAAATCTTGCTTCTCCAGGAGCGCTTATAATAACTATCTCCTGTGTATACTAAAAGTTTCTATTCAAGATATCGTCTGCCTTTCCTCCAAAAATAAATAGGTAGAAGAATCACAACTAGCAATATGTAAATGCCCAGAAATTCATATACTTGATAATGATTCTCCAATTTTCAACGTATGTTGAACCCATTAAGAAGAGAGATGATGGACAGGGCTTTTCCCTATAACTAACAAGGTGTCACGAACATTTTAAAAGACATGCAAATAAATAGAAATTGTAGCATAATAAGTCATTTAGAAATTTGAACCTGGATTAATTTCTAGGTCTTCAAGCCTGCAGTTATTATTTGGGGGCATAGGATCACCCAGAGTGCGGGATTTGGATTTAAACTGTGTATAAGATGTTGTGAGTTTTTGGTGGATCTCTTTCATTTTCCCATTTTGTTCATCCTGCCGGTCCATTTCAATAAGAATCTGTGGAAATGAACACATGGCATAAGAGGCATACAATGGAAAATATTCTTTAACTGAATGTAGCAATAAAATATACCTGAGCAGGGATTTGCATGAATAATGGTTGAAACCTTTGCCTGCAATACTCATTGAAAAGGAGTGTCATGATTATCAGCGGAATTACGAAGCTTGACGCCACTGTAGACTTTTTTAGTCCAAAGACTGCCATGGCTATAACTTGCATCAGCACCATTGAGAAAATTGTTGCGTTGTGCACAATAGGCCAATAAGTTCCCCCAGTTTGATATTTTGTTACATATACGTTGAGGATCTGAAAGTTTTAGTGAATTGGGTGTTACAAACACAGGCTACAAGTGTGGATGCAGACATTGATATTCAGGTTAAACATAGCAGTACAAAAAAAGATAAATCAAAAACGTTTCTTGAAATGACTTCCTGTTCTTTTCTGACCCGTTCAAGATAACATTCACTTGCTAAATAGAAAAGTCCTATTACACATATTTTTTCATAAATCTATTATTCCTAACTGTTAGATAAATAGATCCTTGGTTATGACTTATGAACATTAAGTAGGATTTTTTGTCACCTTAAAAACCGCAAATGTGAACTTCCTTACAGTACATGCATCATCTTGTTGCCTTTAAAAACAAAAGCCTTTACTTTTCATGCACAATGTCATTAGGGAATACCAAGAACATTGGGATTCTCACAAAAGTAAATCTAATAATCTAAAGATAATCAAAGCTTCTTGCTTCTATGTAATCTGTTCATTACATTTTTTTCGCCTGTTTATTTTAAGTAGATATAAGATAAGGTTGCATAACAATCTTCGAAATACTGAAAGGCCAAAAGCACAACTACCGGGTCACTAAATGCTCAGAGGTGATACTACTTTAGTACCAAATTCGACTGTGTGGATATTATTTGGTAATCATATTTATAAGAGCTCATGATTTAATTTTATTTTGACTTTTGGTCCTCCTGCACATAACTGTGGTACAACCATAAAAACTTCAGACAAATTTATTCAAATTCAGCTACAAAAGCACAACTCAAACACAGCTAACATCTCCAGAGGTATCATTTTTCATTGATTTCAGACAAATGAGAAATGCAAGCAATTAGAGGCGAGAAGCAAGAAGCTCATTGAATTTCAAAATATAAAGGCAAGAACAGGTATCTTCAATAATCTACCCTTACAAAATCCAGGCACATCTTGATTTTCCATTTTTCTTATTGTTGGCTCAAGAAATTACTGATGTTTTTCAAGATCCTTAACCAATACATTTCATATGTTAAATAAAACAAAATTGGAACATAAAATAAGATTAAGAGTATAGATGGAATAATTCAGAAGGGGATGGGATGTCTACCTGATTACGGTATACAAGGTAAGCAAGGGAAAAATAAACCAGCAAGAATGGCAGTATCAAAGGAGACAATGTGGAATACACAAAGCCAAAAAGCCCAAATAGAAGGATCCTCGGAACTTCTGTGTGGTATGGAAAAGTCAATGTGCCATATGTAGTGACATCCTTGTTTCTGAGAATAAATATATAGAATAAGTTGCAGAGTAAACCAAACGGTTGCATGAGTTCACATGATAGACTTGCCCAGCCTGATGTCAAAACATAAGTCATAAAAAAGGTGGCCTGCAGAAAAAAATTTAATTAATCATCACACACTTGGTGAATTCTTCAAGTTGCAAGGTGAAGGTGAAGGGATCAAAACAGGGAAGCTCCTTGTGTAGGAAAAGTACTCAATAAGGAAATTTAAACAGAAGGTATAAAGAGAACGTAGGTGTAGTTTTCCAGGGTCTCCCGCTTCCTAATTGGACAGCTAAGAGGCAGTGATGACACATTACTAGCTGCAGTGTTTGTTTAACTTCCTCTTAGATTCTCATCACAAGTTGGACTAGTGGAAGTTTCTGTCCTTAATCATGTCTAATGATGTAGGAAAGGGGACATGTACTTTCCACGAAGTACTAGTACCTTTCCATCTTTTTCCTTCTCACCCTATTAATCTTGAATAAAATGTGGTCCAACTGAAAAATGAGTTTTTCCAACCACATACATGAATCATAACTACACTTCAGAAGACTAGCCCTCTAGCATCCATCAACCCAATAAAAAGGCTAAAAATAAACCTAGTATTAGCGTTGTTGTTTTCTCTAAGGAAGAATTAATAGAACATGATGAATTCCTTAAATCAAATATTTGTCGGTTTAATATTTGAGGATTGAGGATAATAGTTAGCGCAAAGGGAAAGCAGGTAAACACACATATATATGCACATAGAGGAAGAAGGTTACCGTTGATGGTACTGCTGTTGCAAGTAGGTAATTTACATCCTTAAAAATCTTACTGAACCTCTCAATCACAGAGCCCGAGAGGATGTTACCAAAGAAAACATTCCAGATGAAGAAGCACAAAACTTTTATGCTTGCACTCCTCTTCCTACCACTACGAGAGGTAGAGCCTTCCAATGTAGAAAATAGCAACATTATTGGAGGAACCATGTACATAAATATTATTAACACGACACTTGGTAGATATCCCGTAGCCAGCTGACTCATTGCTTTCCTGCAAGAAAAAAAGGGATAAAAGATAGCCATATTGCCCATGGATATAGCTCAGACTTCATAAATTGGTAGTATTATTATCTATATCTAGGCTGACGAGTTAAGGTTATTACATAGAATGAAAGAGAAGCATTGAAGTTAGTAGCAGAATGAAAACAGTGCATAGAGGAAGCTGGTAAATCATTGTGAAAAAAAAGTCAACCTTGAATCAAGAAACGTAACTTTATTTCCTCATGCTCTGTGTGTGAGAGAGAGAATGATCAATAACTGTACTCCTTTCAAAAATAGATTTCCAATGTAAATTTAAAACTTAAAAAATTAGAGTTACAATTTTACAAAAATAGGCAGTGACGGGATTACCTCTTTAAAACTCCTTTAAGAAATGGAAATGTCTTTTGAAGCTTGTCGAGGTGAACAAGACCTTGTGTTAATGAAACAGGCACAATGAAAAATGCCACCAAAGCCATCGAGGCCACAAGAATAGCTACTTTGCGGATCCAAAGGAGTCTATATGGGACACAAATGTTTGACCAATACATATCACCTGGTTCTGGAGAAAGATTTGTGACCCATGACATAGGATTTCGAGATTGAAGGCTCTGAGAAGCAACCAAAGCAGCATAGCGAGTCCTGAAAAAAAACTAAAGCAGCTGCAGACTCCTGCAAGAAAAAATTGTGTATTCATTTCACTTCTTATTTTGTCTAGCCTCATGAAAAATGAAGCTAATTCAAAATTTTCAAGACAAAAGAGTCGAGCACACCAAAAGCAATATGAAGTATATAACACTGTAATCTATTTAGTTAAATCAGGAACAAGTGCAACTTAGTGCTGTTTCCTTCTGTTGAAGATTAACCAAACTTAGAGCTGTGCATTGAAGTAACCTTTACCAAGCATGAGAACTCAGAAGTTAATAGTTCAGCACATGTCAAGCCTAAAATGAACCCAAACATAGTTTCAAGAAGGTAATGTTTCACCTATGGTGTATTGACTTGGAAACTCTCTCTGTAGATGCTATGGCTTAAATCTAACCCACAGTGGAAGTCATGGCAATCATATGAAATCTGCCTAGCTGCAAGAACAGATGAAAATAATAAGAATCACTCAAATACCTTTTTCCTCAAATCTGAACCGCCAAAATCACTTCTTCCTTTGTCACCTTCCGCATCCATGGGAAGCATGCTGAACGATGCTGTTGTTCCACAAAGACCACATCTCATGGAATTTGATCCAATATGTAGTTCCCTAGGCGTCAGTTTTAGCATCTTGCACACCTTCCCTGCATCAGTCTGCAGTCATGCAACATGTGTCATATTAACAACCAGAAGAAAGAAAAAGGAGCAATGTCAAACCACTAGTTCAAGCAGAAGATAACTACTTTTGTTTAGCTGACATACATATGCTTTATGAGGAAAAACTAGCAGAAGATAGAGGGACTCTGGGGTGTTCTATTACTCGAATTGTAGCTTTTTAACTAGGGGCTAGGGCCATGGAAACTCATCGGAGTTGGCATTACAATAAAAAACAATCCTTGATCCTGACAATAATGGCAGAGAGCGTATTATTCAAGAGAAAAATTTATTTAGATAATATTCCTGAAGCTTCAGACACCATATGTCTACCATGAAGAAAACTCTCTCATATTTCTAAGGAGAATCACTCGATTCCAATGTGGAAAACATATTGCCAGCATCAAAACCAACCAACTCCATTTTGCAGTTAAATTTTACCATATCATGCAGTTTCAATACCATTTACCTTTTGAGCTTTTATATCTCATGGATGCTACAAGAAAAAACGACTTAAAAGTCTTTGACCTAATTTTTTGACAAACATCTATAGCAAAATAATACATAGCGCCGGGTACAAACAACTCGAAATCACTTTCTCACCATTATGGCCTCACAAAATACGAAGAAACTTATAGAACATCCCATCATACAAAGTAAAAAATTTCAGCTCATATTTATATTTAATTGGAGCCAGAAGAGGATAATAGATGTGTTATAGAAGAGAAACTTAAAGACACATCAAGCTTTGAGATCAAGAGAAATATTTCCATAATGAGACTACCAAAAAGGAGTTAAAACCCACCACCAGTTTCTGAACAGAGCCAGATCGATAAACGATTTGATGAGATAAAAAACTTGATGCATAGAAATTTGTGAAGAATCTTGCCACTGTTCCACTGTATGATTCTTCTCGCGACCATGGGATGGCACGAACAAGAACTGTGAAATAACTTGGGTTGGAAACAGATGAAGTAAAGTAAGCCAGCCTCATCCTTGAAATGCTTTTGTACTCCTAAAAGCAAGTGAAGACCTTTTATGAAAAAAGAACAGACATAACATACATACTACCACATACTAAGGATCGCATATGAAATACATACATTTTTAAAGAAAAAGTAGCAAATGGAAATTAGTTGTGATTTCTTACAAGGTATAGAAGAAAACAAGAACAGCAAGATACGAGGTACAACGCAAGGCAGTGAGCCCAAAGCCTGAAGAAGATGAAAGGAATATGTAGGTGAAACTGAATCAGATTAAAATGGAGCAACAGGTTAGAAAACTACCTTCTACTGTTCTACATATGCTTCCTTGGTCAACTTACAATTCACAGTCTCTTTAGTTATTATACTTTTTCTATTCTCAGTAAAATTAACTTCAGGATTACTTTTTCTTGAGAAGGTAATTAAGGACTTAAAAGGGTCTCAAAAGTCAAACAAGACAGAAAAATGCATTGGAAGACTTGCAGACACTTCCAGGAAACAACAAATAGAAGCTTTTAGTTCCTCCTTCTATTTTCAAAATGTGAGAAAAAAAATCCTCTTGCGATATGCATCTAAGTATGTCTATTGAGAAGAGAAAAGACTAATCAACTGCATTTAAATCATTATCAGCAATTTTGTACACATTTCATACCATCTGGATCCTTCCTCAACATTCGCAATGGTGAATACCTCCAATGTCTCAGCTGGAATCTGGTGACGCTGCATCTCTTTTCCAAAATAATTAAGTGGGAGCACAAGAAAATTGCATACAATGGCTGCAATGGAGAATATTCGGAAACTGTCCACAATGAGCAGCAGGAGAGTAAGTTTACTGCAATAGAGTAATGGTTCATAGACATAACAAAATGCAATAGAAAGATTGTTCTTCAAACTGAACTTCACAACTGCACCATTGGAAGTGATATAAAGTCTGAAGGTTAAGAGAATTATCAAGAAAATGAGGTTGAACAACAAAGTACTAAGCAGAGGTATAAATGTTTAACCATACTTTCTAAGTAACATTTAAAACGACTTCCACAGGCAATGAGACAAAAAGTGTAACACTATTATAGGTAGTATTTGATAAATTCACAAAAAGTATAACTAAGCTTCTTTGGTCACAACATTCTCACAATAGCACACTATGCATGACTCACTTTACACAAGCTACACAGATCCACTATCACCAGGAAAAACACCAAAATCACTTAAACAGAACATACATATATATATATATCCATTGCAGTTCGTTAAACCATCATAAATTATCAGAGTACAGATTCCCTTTTTTTTTGTTAAATCTTCTTTTACTATGCTCCCCAAAACCCCAATATTGGCCAAACTTATTGTACTACCTTCTCATCTCACAGCTTCTGTACATCCTTACAAGACAAACCAGACAGCTAAATATTCAACAAAAAGTTTCACCAATGTAATTCAATCATGCATCCTTTTAAGGGAATAATGACAGGGCAATGACAGTAAGGCAATAAGCCATGACTACTATTTTGGCAATAGGTAAACAACTTCAAACTAGACAATACAAAAATATGGATTTATGCAATATATACTAATCGACCATGCAAAAGTATGCAAGCTCCTTTACTTTAAATTATATGCTTGCTGAATTTTTCCCAGCAAATGATGAAAATACTCGAAACGGAAACAAATTTGATAGAAATACTTTAGACTAACTCATTTAAATTATATCAGATTATCAGGAGTTAATTGACTTTTTCTTAAACACTAGAAAATCTAACAACTAACAAAGTGCTGGGCATTACAATTTCACCTGAAAACAATCATCCGCACGAATACCACTGCATCCAAGCCACCAGTAGCGCATATTTCTTCATCAGATGTCTCCCATGCCTTTAGGATCCAACTTGGAGAAGGAACAAATCGATCAAACCGAAAGGCATCCTGTTGTCTTGATCTTACCTGAGCAATCTTCGCGCCAAAGTAAACATTGACAAAGCTTGGTTGTTTCCTTAAAACCGAATACAAGGAGAACAGCACTACGCTCACTGCAGTATTGATACCAGCAGAAGTCAACAGAGCAGCTAGCTTCATCTCCGTCCCCAAATATTTCAGAAACCTCAATAATTAAGACATGTCAATGCCTCTGCCTTTGTTTAAATATTGAAAAGATCTTGCTTGATGCAGAAGCATGAGAAGATCTAAGATGCAGCAGCAAGTTTGTTGCATTAAGGTTAAGAAACTGCAAAGTAAAAGCACAGTGAAGGATTTATGATTTGCACATTATAAACAACTACTTATCTGGTTATAAACAGCTGAGAAATTCTACAATTAGACACACAAAAAAGAACAATCAAATAAACAAAACAAATATAACATAGGAAAACTTCAGCCTTACAAGCATGCTCATTTCAAATATCTCTGATCCACACTACGCAACTTAGCATACTAAAGTGTATAATCAAGTCAATATAATCCAGTGACAATTCGCTATTCCGAGCATACATAACATGCAAAACCAAAATCAAGTAAAAACAAAATAAATAATTTACAGTTAATGTAACGCTCACATCCATGTTCTTCACACTATTCAGTTTCTGAAATTGCAAAATTTTACATCTATTTCCTTGGAGATCAATTCAGAGGCAATAAACTATCATGAAACAGCAAAAATATCATACACATTGCGTCCGTTACTTCTCAAAATTCAATAATTAATAAAAGTAAATCAAAACGTTACCGAAGAAGACAATTCCAGAACGAAATCCGACGAACAATTAGAAAAAACAGGAAAAATTACCAAAAAAAATAGTAAAAAGAGAACAATCACCTGAAATTGAAACCGCTTCCTATTTCAGAATGACGAAATAACGAATCCGAACGCAAATTTTTAAAAAATGAAAAAATCGATGAATGTTTAAAGCAACAAAAATAGTGATTGCTTCAAACCAGAAGAAACCCTAGAAAAATTGTTCTTCCGTTTTTTTGATTTTGCGTTAGGATTTGGGAGACGAGAGAATAGGCTCTAATTTTTCGGTAACAAGGAAAAAACAGTGCGAGAGAGAAGAAAGGCGCGTCGATTGCGAGTGTGCGTGGATTATAAAGAAGTGAGATTCTGTGGGCCCAATAAATAATTTGCCACGTGGATTTAGAGAAATGAGGAAAGTGTAAACGGAATGGAACCGCTCTTAACTGTCAATGTCCCGGTTTTTTTTTGTATCAGTTTTCATGCATATTGAACCGCTGCATCACCGTGTTGTACCTAATGCATAATCTGAGATATATGGATATGGATATAGTTAAGTAATACTCCATTCATTTATTTTTACTTGTTTCGTATACTAAAAATAGTTGTGAAACTTTACGTATTTAGTTTGAAGAATTAAGAAATAATATATTATTTTGTTTCTATTTTATCTTTATTAGTATTAAATATTATTCATTCCCTAATTTTTGGATTTATTGTTTCTTGAGGATATGAGTATCAAGTCAAACATAAATAAGTGAAGGCAGACAAAGAGAGTAATTTTATGTAATGAAAAAAAAGATACTTAACTTTTAAGTTGATACTAATATAGTTAAGTATTTTTTATTATAGAAACTTGTAGTTAAGTGACCATTGAAATTAACTTATGAAAAATCTACCTATTTATTTGTTGAAGTGTGATCATATCATCTAAAAGTTTAAATTGTTATAAAGAGCATACAACACGCTTTCACACGTATGAGCCTGATTTTTTTTCATGAACAAGCATGTGAAAATTCTTTTTGATATGAGTGGCTAAAAGCTTAAGATGTTAGAGAAAGTACATAACATGCTCTCTCATGTATGGGCTTGATTTTTTTTCATGAGTCAAGCATGTGAAAAATCTTTTTGATATGGGTGACGATGAAATTCTATTTCAGACTTTTTGCCTACTCTGATGTCATGTTAAAGTGTACGATCATTTCATCTAAAAATTTAAATTGTTAAAAAAATACATTTTTATTATTTAATTATATTCAGAATATTCTTTTGTTAACCCACCCTGCTCCTCCTTTTTTGGACACTAAGATGATCATTCCTTATTGATGCATTTCAATATTCATGATGAATTCTCCAAATTCATCAAAAATGAAAGAACATGTTGATTTAACTAACCAATTATTATTGCTTTCCAATTCTATTATTACCAAAAAGTGAGACTACGTGCAAGAAATGTATACTTCTATTTTCTCTATGATAACATTAGTACCTTTTTACCTAATTACATTATAAGCTTACTTAACTTAAGTGTGGATAATTACGTAAATAAATAAATGAGTAGTAAATTAATTGAATGTGATCACTAATGTGCCACAGATGAAGTTCATTGTTCTTTAAGCTTTTATGTTCTTTCTATTTTTTCGTTGATTTTAAAATATATAGTTTCACCTGATGTTTGGACTATTTGCAGCTTAAATTTTAGAATACCAAAGTTTCAAGAATTGGACAGATTTGATTTCAACCCATATTTAATCTCACTTGCTCAAGAATTGCCTTCTAATAGACTAGCTTTCCCCGGGCTACCATCCTTGCAGCTAAAGAGACCATATCATCATGCCTAAAGGGACCGATTGAAGAAGTCTAAATGTAGTATTTAGTAGTAGAGTGACCGTCTTCTTTATTTTTGAATCCTAACTCCTAGAGAGGGCCCCTTCCGCCCTTTCTCTTTACGCAGTTCGCCCTTCCCTTTATGGACTCTATCTCGATGCTATATCTCCATGAACGGAACACAAAACCAATTTCAGCATTCGCAAAAGGGTTAGATTTCATGTTCGACTCTTTTTTATATTTATTTTCTGAATTTTAATATATATCATAAAATATTGATCAAAATTCATATAACTTGACACTAAAAGAGTGAATGAATGGAGCAAGAATTAAATTTGACATCTAACTTACAACCTTATACTTGCTTAGTTGCTTACTTGTGAACCAAACTCTTATGTTAACAACAATTTATTCATGTGTTCAGTACTTACACCAAATAGACAACTTTATGATAAAAGTCAAAAATCAAAGCAAAACATTTTAACTAGACTTATAGTCCAAATCCTGATGCAAATAAATTTATTCAATTAGTGTCACAATCTCAACAACTCCCTCTGATTTGTTTAATTTCTTTGTCCCATATTTCCTAGTGATTGCGATATGAAGCAACGTGTTATAATATTTGAAAATGGACATAAAACATGAAAGCTACCATGTAGGCTGACCATATCTGAAACATCACATAACTCTACACAATAATATAATACTAATAAATACATATATGCTCCCTAGCTATACTACAACTCTCAAATTACGTCAAACACAACAATAATAGAATTAATACATCTTCAATCTCCCTTTCAACGATCTGTTCTTCCATCACCTGATGATAATTTAACAACCCAATTCGCAATTGTCCTTCTCCTCCTTGAGCCAGCAGCCCTCACAGATCGTGAGGGCTGCTGACGAAGATTCTGACGGATATCTCTGTCAGAATTAACAAAATTATTAATCCTCTGCATCGCGAGGTCTAGTGTTTCTTTTGACATATTCGCGAAACAAACTCTGAACCAACCCGGTTCGCTGCAGTGACAAGAGGAACCAGGAGATACATTTAAACCAACAGTACTAATTATTTTCTTCCATAATTCCATTTCTGCTTCAAACGTGTTCGATTTTAGCAAATCCCTCATATCCACAAAACAGAACAATCCAGCGTTACTTTCCAAACATTCAATCCCCGAATTCGCAAGCCCTGAAGCGAGCATTTCCCTCCTATGTATCAATTGCTTCTTATTTTCTTTAATGTAACGTTTTATAAATCTCCTATCTCCGAGAATTTTAGACAACAGATACTGAGTTTGCGATGAAATTAGCCCAAAACTCGACATTTTTGTAGCAGCAGCTATGAGAGTTTCGTTGTTCGAATAAATCATCCCAACTCTGAAACCTGGAAGGCCGAGATCCTTCGATAGACTCGATACAATGTGAACTTGGTTCCACATTTTCGATTTTTCGAGTTTCCTATCGATTAATGCCTCCATTATGCTTATGAATTTTGGCGAATCGAATACTGTACCAGCGTATATTTCGTCGCTAACTATGTGAATATTTTTGGTCATGGCAAATGTGATTAGAATGTTTAGTTCGTTGTGTGACATTGTTGTGCCTAGTGGATTTGAAGGATTTGTGATGAATACACCCTTGACTGTTAAATTACGTTTTTGGGCTTGTTCATATGCTTCTTCAAGGGCTGATTCGGTAATTCGGAAATTATTTGAACTGTAGCAGTGTATTGGTACAATTTCAGCCCTTGTTCTCCATTTAAGATCTCTATCAAACCTGTCATGACAAAAAAAACAAAAATCCGAATAGTGGTTTTAGAATTTGTATGGAGTTTGTTAAAGGTTTAAGTTATATGCACTGACGATTAAAAAAATATTTAGTTTAATTATTAGATAACTTTTAAAAATAAATACTATTTTTAAATATTGATGGTGAATATGGATATAGATCAACTTTACATTTTTTCAAAATAAAATTTAAATATTTGAAAACTACGTAAAAATGCTATAAATTACAATAATTAATAAAGTTTAAAAAAATTGATCAAAGAAAAATTTAATTGACTTTTGAAATTCAAAGTGTGTCGCGTAAACTGGAATAAGGGAATATTATTTGAGTAAGAGATGAAAGAGTAGTAATTGATGTTACCCTGGATAATAAGGAGTTGGAATAAGGAGAGCTTCTCCAGGTTCAGCTAAACAAAAAATGAGTGTTTCATTTGCTGAAGTTGAACCAGCTGTAAGTACTAAATTCTTGGGATCAAATTTTACTTTCTTTCTTCTAATCTCAGCCATGAATGACACTAGTACCTGCAAAATAAAATGTAGCTTAAAACAACATATTTTCATATAACACCAATAATATACCAGTATGATCTCACAAGTGAGGTTCATAGAGGGTATAATGTATACAAACATCATCCCTACCTTTTATAGGGTAGAGAGGTTTGTTAATTATTTCAGACAGACGCTCGATTCGAAAGAAAAGAGAAAAGGAAGAAACTAAATTACATTCTTGAAAGCTTGCAATCCATGATAATCTTGAAAAAGAGCCAAGTCTCTAAACATGGATCCTCCATTTTCTCTAAACTGAATTACATCTTGGTTCCTTGTGAGCCATGATTCAAGAAGATCGAAAGAGAGCTGTTTCATTAATTAAAAATTAATTAGAGCCTCAAAGAAAAGAAAAAATATACTCATTATATTATATATATGTTTACTAAAAGCAAATATATATTTATTATATAGCTAGAAACAACAACAAAAAAATTGTGCATGCTGATTCAGATACATGAGGATCAATCAAACACTTTTTGGTTGGTCTTTTGTCAATATCACCTGAAGCAATAAAGCCAACCTTTTTGAAAACAAGACATAGTATTTAGCAAATGTAGCACATAATTTGTCATGACACCAAATTAAACTATACATCATTACTAACTTTATTCAATCATCAATCAATTACTCTACAATTATCATTTTTTCGTTTCTCATGATATATCATTTATCATGCATATATAATTCATAATCACACCACCCATAGTATAACGTAACGATGTATGATCATGTATATAACTTAAACTCGTGTTTTTAAGTAGTTGAGTTTAGTGTGTTGATATATAATAGTATTAATTTGGTACCTGATTTTCAGCTAGACCCATTTGAATAATACCAGAAGGATTTTGTAAAGGATCATAAGGGTTTTTCTCATATTCTTGCCATCCAATAAAATAAGAAGAATCTTGCCCATGGGATTTGCACATAGCCATTTTGGACAACATTTTTAACATTTTATGTATGAGAAGAAGAAGAAGAATGAAGAGTGAGGAAGAACTTGAGAGAGAAGAAAGAGGA